GAAAAAACTCACCCCACAGTCATGGAATTCAATCTATTTCTAGTTCCCCAATTAAATTATGAATCACATCTGTCCACTCTTTTGTAGTTGCATCAAAAGCCAATTTTTAAATATTTCACCATTTTATTTTTATCAAAGCAGAATCAAATCACAGCCAATATGAAAAGTTTTTGTGTTTTGCTTTAGAAGTAAGGAAAGCAAAAAAAAAAAAAATAGATCGGTTTCTCTGTGACCCCTGACCTTTGAACCACAACCTCCTTGCCACTAAAGCGTTCAGCACCTCATTTAATCTCTCCTCTCTACACTGGTATAGTGCTGAGAAAAGGAAACAGAAAACATAATCTGGGGACTTCATCAATTTTTCATGAATTTTCATTTAGGCCAGAACCCCCTCTTACCCTGGTCGATAGATCAAGCTGCTGTCTTATATTTACCACCTGGGGCTACAGCTGCTTTCTCTAGGGGCTGCCACTGACTCACGCTGTATCACAGGCAGCCACGAAATGTGGAAGGACCCCTGTGCTCCTTCTGCTCCGAACACAGGGGAGAACTGGTGTTCAAACTGAAATCCTATCTGCCCCAGTTACTCCTCTGCTCTCTTGGTGGTCTCATCAGAAAACGGCATATTAACTTCTCTGGTGCCAGATGCTTTGCTGGGGACCCTGCAATTCTGTTTTCTAAATATGTAAAAATTGCTTTCACCTAAAGACCTTTCTTGAGTTCAAGTGATTTGAAAAGTACTTTCTGACTATTTTTCTTTTCAAAGCACGAGGGAAAAAACAAATATGAGATAAGTGATTCAACACTCCATATCAATGGTTGCTCTTGAATATTTTTTCCCTCCACTATATTATTCTGTTACATAAAACTGAAGTTTGTATTAAAGGAAAACAAAAAAGAGACCATGTACAGTATGATAAAAAACAGGCTGACTTCTTTCTCAACAACCTGTCAAGACAGACGGTTATCAATACAATTGTACATTTCATCCGACAGCAAAAACCAAGATTTTTGAAATTAAAAATGAAAACCAAGGTGAAGCAAGGAGAGTCCAAACATGCGCATATTTTTTTATCAATAATCATATTTCACAATAAGAGTTGTAACAAGTTTGTTTGCTACTTAACCATACACTCTTTTTTTTTTTTTTTTTTTTTTACCATACACTCTTAATTACCTAGATACCAGAGATCAGTAATTCTCAACTGATTCTGACCCCTCAGGGGATATTTGGCAGTGTCCAGAGATATTTTTAGTTGTCACAGCTGCAGTTGGGGGGTCTTTTTGGCAGCTCCTGGGCAAAGGCCAGAGATGCAGCTAAACATCCTACAATGCAGAGCACAGCCCCACAAAAAAGAGATATCCAACCCCAAATGGCCATAGTGCAGAGACCTGGATAGCTTGTTCTAGTTTGCTCACACTCCATTCAGGGCTAAATTCTTAGGAGAATGGCAGCATTTGCCACTCCAATTCCACCACTTACTCCTTCTTCAGCTGCCACGCTCTCTTTCCATTCCCAGAGTCCACAGAGTACCTCTTATTTAACCATCATGTGGCCTTTGCACTGCAAAACACTTTTTCTTTCTTAAAACTGTTTCCTTGTTCTTCATGTCACTTCACTCCCCACAGGCCATCACTCTGATACCTCCTCAGAGCCTCCTCAACCAGTACTTCTTTCCTTTGCCCACCCTTAAATATTGGGGTTCCAAGACACAGGAGTGATCTCAGCCCTTATTAACCACTCCTGGCACACAGCCTGCCTGGGCAGTCATCTCTACTTTATCTACTCCCACCACTCTATCCTCCATGTGGTAAAGACCAGTTCCCTTTTCAATGGAACATGAGATATTTTTACCTTGAGGTCTCACTGGCATGTTAAATAATACAGTCAAAGCTGACTTCACGTCCTGTTCCTACTGCAGTTATTTCTCCTACACCTGCCATCCCCCCGGATGTAGCACTATATACATAGTCACTCGGCGGAAAACAAAAAAACAAAACAAAACAAAAAAATCAAACACTGGGAATCATCCATTATCCCCTAAGTCCCTAAACTGACCATAAAGTGATATGATTTATAATTTCTAAATCTGATTCAAACTATTTCCTTCTTTCAAATCTTCACTGCTAGTTTCAGTTCAAAATTGAATATATATGCCTTTCATTTGACAGCTTCTTAACTCCTCTCTACTTCAGTCATCATCCCCTTAACCCCGTCTTCAATGTTCTTTCAAAGACTCCTTTTACGTAACAAAAAAATCTACTTTTCCAACTTATGCTGCCCACCTACCTTATATCAAGCTACCTACGGTTCTCCAAATACACAGCGCCGTTAGACTTCCATTCTTTCCTTTACTGGATGAAACAGTGACATGTCATGATTGAGCATTTATGCTGAATGTTCTAAATTATGAAAGCCAAACATTGATCTAATCTATAGCTACTCTTCTATCATTTTATAAAAAAAAAATATACTTTGGTGACAAATAATACTGAAAAAGCACAATGCTTTGACCCAAATTTCCATATTAATACATTTTATGAAACACATAAGGAGAGAGAGATGACTGATGATCTAATGTGAAAGAGATGAGTAGCATATAAATGGGTATTATTTGATCTTGTATTGCCTTAAATGGCATGAACTGTTGACACGGCATTAGAAGAAAGAATTTTATTCACTAGCTAAATCCAATTTAGAAGCTTTCTTGTTTTCCTCTCTAGGTCAAAAGTATTTTTAGCATTTCTCAAAGCTCACTGATTTCAAAATAAAAAGTGCTACTGTCACATTACACAAGAAAAAAATCATGGTTTAAACTTTTCCTCCTAAAACAGCTTTGAATCATTATTAATGATGCAATTAGGAAAGAGAGCAATCTTCAGATTAAATAAAAATATAAGATGTATGTGTGTGCTGGGAAGAATTTTTAAATAGCTAAGGTTCAGGGGAAAAAAAAATGTTTATAGCTGCCCAACAATAAAATGACTGACCATTTAGGTAAACTTTAATATTAAGAAGAAAAGGGAGTTGAGAATTAAAAATACATATTTGCTGCTGAGTAGATAAAATAAAAAAGTTTTGATTAAAAAATTTTAATTGTTATTTATGTGATCAGCCAAATTTCATTTAGTGTTTTCCCGAATATGGCACATTTCCGTAAAACTAAAAATTAGAAGAATCAGGATCTGGTTTTCAAATCCCCATTAATTTACTGCCTGACTCTTCATCACTTAACCATCATGGGTTTCATTTTATCTATAAAATGGGAGAATAATGCCTGTTATATTTACTATAAAGGGACTTGGTGGGGGGGGGAATCAACGGAATTTGACATTGAAATATTTCAATATGTTTGAATTCCAGGAATAAGATATTTCAAAATAAAAATAGAAGAGCTAGGAATATTTATTCTTGAGGTTTTGTGTGCATATTTCAAATCTCACTAAACTGCATTTAATTTGACTGCTTTTTTGAACTAAGATATAAAAATGAAATTACCTGGTGCCTGTGTACAAAATTGCCTTGCTAGCTAAGGTTCTAATTTTAGTATATGTGCTGCTGAAACGAGCACGCTAGCTAAGATTCTAATGCTCCTATCTCAAAGTACTTCACAAAACAAATTTGGGTTTTAGGATTCTTCTAATCTTTTCCTACTGGATTTACACACTTCAAGCATTAGTAGGTTTTAGATTTCCTGCTACAAACTATAAACCAAAAGACCAGGTACTTGAGAACAAAAGCTTTCATTGAGGTAGCTGAAGAAGAAATAGTATGACTCTGTTTACTAAAAGATGGTTTCATAAATTGCTGAGAATCGCAATACACATGTACACAAGTTTTATAATGCAGTGTGATACCATGTAGCCTGTGAGTACAAGGACCAAGTTTAATTACAGACATGAGACCACGAGCTATTATTTAGCACTCCCCTTCCAGCTATATAAAAAAGACTTATGCATCTTGAAGTAACTCAATCTTCTTACCTATGAAGACCTGGTACAACCAGAAAACTGAAAAGTACAAGTTTTTTTATGCCCAATTGTTGCCATCTTATTAATGATCAATTCCACATAAAATTTTTCCACAGAATAAATAATATCAAAAGTTTATGGTGCTGTTTAAATTATGACACCAGATCCTTATCTATAAACCAAAAAAAATCTGTCATGGTGTTTTGGAAAACGATGCATGAAGTTATGAAGTCAATGTTCAAATAGATGCAAAACACTGATATCTTGATTTACTAGTGCTATTTGGGCTGTCTGATGAATAAATAAATGTATTTTTTTAAATGCCAAAGGCAGGGCAAGCCCTTAACTATTGCTGATTACCAAGACTGAGCAAGACCCTTTCATGTATGAACATTTTGTGCCCACAAAAATCAGATCTCTTCTTTGATGAGTTTTACTGATAGAAAAAAATAAATATAGTTGCTGTTATTGCTCCTATATTCTCCCCCACAGGCCTATGGTAATGATTCCTGAATTCAGACTGGAAGTAAAAGAGCTAATATAACCTAAGGAGTATATTCTTTTTAAAGTTGTTTGATAAAAATTAGATTTAGAAATATATATATAATATAATATATACAACAGTTATAAATAAATAGATAACAGAAATAGGTAGAATATTGAATTTATGCCCCATATTTGATGCCATGTTACATGTCAACTTTTCATTTTAACATACCTGACTTTAATATTTGACTATATCTCTCATCAATAATTTGAATTTTAAATATGACCAGCACCATTGCCACTTTGCTTTAATGTAAAAACATAATTTCCACCTTGCTTCAAGAAAAGTAAATTTATTGCAACACCATGGCTTGACATTATTTTGACCAGCTTTCTTTGGAGAAGGCAAAGTAAATTATGCATGGCATGTTGATTGTTTTCTTCTTTAGGTATAAAGTACCCATGGGGACAAATCAAAGCTTACTAAAAATAAATCAAAGTAAAAATGTGTGCTATTTACAAAATTCATTATGTTTACTTACATGCCACTTCCAGAGATGCATTTCGACTCACTGCTTCACCGAGATAGTTCCTTGCAACACAGACGTAGCTTCCTTCATCAGGTTTGCTTCTGCGCCCATGTACAATGCGCAAGAAAAATAAGGATCCGCTGGGCAGAAGCATCCTGTGAGACCGGGGATCATCCTTGTCAGTCTCCACCCGCTCACCATCCTTGTACCACTCAATGGTGGGCGTTGGCCGGCCCTCTGCCTTACAGTTCAAAGTGGTGGGCTCTCCCTTAGAGACAATGACATCTGAAGGGTGCTCCACAATCCGTGGGGGGAAGTCTTCCTGGCGAAGACGAGATCCTACAAAACAGGACGGAATGAAGACAAGCGTTAACATTTTCTTATCTATAGCTTTTGTTTCTCTTCGGTTCACATTGGTGAAATTAAACTCTTCAATTATTCAAAATGCACTTACTACTATTTTATTTATGTTTTATACTTTTGTTCTTGATGCATCTCCTAAGTCATCCCAACTCCTTTGTGGAATGTGATAATATAGCAAAAAATTAATAGGCTAATTCTAATGAGTTAGGTTTAAATGTTCCATGAATCGTGGCAAGGAAAAGTAAAAGAGTATGAGATTTTCTTTTGGGTACTAAGATGAACAAGATTAATCTCCTGCCCTCGAAGTGATTATTATCTACTGGGGGACAAAGCCAAGTGGGCAAGTACCCAGAATACACAATGCGTTCTATCATGCTGGCATTGTGTCATCAGACTTCACATAAAAAGAGACGCTCAAACTAGGTACAAATATTAACTCAATTTAACAGATGAGGAAGCAGGTTAGGAAATGACATCAAGTGCCCAGAAATGTAGAGGCAATAAGCAGTTGAGGCAGGATTTGAACCCAGGGACATCTGACTGAAGAATTCAAGTATAAATCATTATGTTAAAATAAAATAAATAAATGTTGCACGGAGATTCAAGAAATGCATTATAGGAAGAAAGTGGGGAAAAAATGTTAACTCTAACTAGAGTATAATGAGGCCTCCCCTGAAAAGGCATCATTTAATTGAGAGGTAAAGAATGAAACTATGTAGGGGCACCTGGGTGGCTCAGATGGTTAAGCGTCTGCCTTTGGTTCAGGTCATGATCCCAGGAGCAGGAAGCCCGCTTCTCCCCCTCCCACTGCTTCTCCCCCTGCTCATGTTCTCTCTCTCTCTCTCTGTATCTCTGTGTCTCGAATGAATAAATAAAAAATAAATAAGTAAAAAATAAAAAGAATAAAACTATGTAAATAGAGGGAAAAAGACATTCAAATTGAAGAAACAACCTGAGATCATGAGCATACATGCATAATACGTTTCATAATCGGGGAGGAAGTTGATATGACAGGTGGAGGTGAAAGGTCTTGTCCTGGGAACCCAGAAAAACAGTCTTTAAATACCACGCTAAGAATTGCGATCTTCATTCTATATGGCTAACAGATTTTGAGAGGGCAGTGATATGACTATCTGTGTATTAGAAAGGTATTTTTGGTGTGCAGTATAAAAGGTAAAAACAATGGAGGCAAAAGGACAGTTGAGAGTTATTAATTGTTCCAGAGAACAATAAAAAGAACCTGACTTTGAGAAATGATGCTGAAGGTAGAAAAAAAAAAAAGAGAGAAAGATACAAGGCATAGCATAAAATAACACTTGACAGAATTTGGTATATCACCATATAGTAAGGAAGAGTGACCGATGACTTCCATGTGAGTGCAATGAAAGTGGGGCTATTAAAGGGCAGAAAAATAGGAAGAGAAGGACCTGTTGGTATTTTAAGATGAAAAGTTTACATAATGTGTCATTTTGAACATTTTTAGTTTATAGGGTGTCACAGGCCATTATTTGTGAAAGGGTCTTAGCAGCTCCTGCACATAAATCTAAAGGAGATGATGAGAGAAATAACCATGTCTGAGGACATAATGATAGTCTAGATACAAGCTTTAACATTTTCTATCCAATCATCTAATAGAACCACATTTCAGCTCAATAAATAGAAGTAATATTTACTCCTCAATGTTATTTCACTTTATTTTCACTATTAATTAAAAATGCATATTTTAATTTAATAAACGGTATTTAATTTGGTAGTGAATGAACCTTTTCTTTTCTGAGGAAGATTAATTTTAAAGGTTGTTGAATATCAACCTTTTTTTTTAATTTAATTTTTTTTTAAGATAATTTGTTATCTCATCACATTCAAGAAGGAACTTACACACTGCAAGTGTTGGGTACCTAAAGCCAAAGAGTAATTTACAGTACTCAGGTTGGAATTTTTTTTAAAAGTCCTGAAGAAACCCAAAGCATTTAAATATGAACAGGTAACCACATTGTGCATCAAAATAATAAAGAAGGTATACATTGAAAGTACTGGGTCCCTAAAGCAAATGAGGACTTTAAAGAATATAAACAGTAAGATTTATTTTTTAAAGAAATGAACAAAAAAGATCTCAAAGTATTTAAAAGTGAATGGCTAATCACAGTTTGCAAATCAGTAACATATTCCCAAATATAATGGTCTGGACTCAGAGCCATAGAATCTGATCCTAAAATGGAACAAGAGTTTAATCCCATTTTTCATGTAACAGGCATATAGGCTATAATCACCTTGTTTAGATGTCTTTCTTGTTCTTCTCTAATTTCCCACATGCACTTATCTACAGCTCCTCTATGTCAAAGTTGCTCTATTATTAAAACTAAGCAAGTCAATCATCCATGTTATTGGAGTGCTATTTACTTTATCAAATAGTTCCCCACCTTCTTAGGCAGTTGGCCCGGAGAAGGCCTGCAGAGGACCTGAAATACACTAATATTTATTAAATAAATATAAAATAATTGGCTTATAAAAGGAAAAAAGGCAAAATATCTAAACTGCTTAGCAATAAGATCTGGAATCTTGTCCAGAATTTTACATATTTAAACACTACCAACATAATGTAAACCTTTTCTAGTGTTGTCTCATTTGGATATTCTTCTAATCATTTTATTCTCACTGTTATAAAAACTTCAAAAGGACATCCACAGTCTAAATGTAAAAGGTAAAACTATCAATTAGAAGAAATCATAGGAGCAAATTTTCATGACCTTGAGTTAAGCACAACTTTCTTGGGCACCAAAGCACATGCCACAAATGAAACAATAGATAAATTAGATTCATTGGATTTAAATATTTGTGCTTGAAAAAAAAATCAAAAGAATGAAAAGACAACCCACAGAATCAGAAAAAAAAATTGCAAGTTATATATCTGATAGGGGTCTTATATCTAGAATATATAAAGAACTCTTATAGCTCAATAAAAATACAAATAACAAATTTTAAAATGAGCAAAGGATTTAAATAAACATTTACGCAAAAAAGCCAGACAAATGGCAAGTACGCACATGAAAAGATTCTTGACATTATTAGTTACTAGGGAAATGCAAATCAAAATCTCAGTGAGATACATTTCACAGAAGAATGACAATACTCAAAAAAGGTAAAATAACAAGTATTTTGGGGGGGATGTGGAAAATTTAAGAGCCTCATACATTGCTGGTGGGAATGTAAAATGGTGCAGGTGCAACCACTTTGGAAAATATTCTGGATTTTCTTGACATGTTTTGGAATTAACATATAACCCAGTAATTCAACAGCTAGGTATATATACTCAAGAAAAAGTAAACCTTATAGCCACACAAAAACTTGTACCTGAATGTAATGTAATGTTCATGACAGCATTATTCATAATAACCAAAAAAAGGGAAAGAACTCAAATGTCCATCAACTGATGAACAGATGAATACATGTCATATATCCACATAATGGAATATTACTCGGCAGTAAGAAAAAAAATGAAGTCCTTATACATACTATGGCATGGATGAACCTTGAAAACATTATACTAAGTGGAAGAAGTTAATCACAAAGGGCTGCGTATTGTATACCATTTATATGAAATGTCCAGAAGAGAGAATGTAGGTTTACCATTACCTAGGGTGGGCTATAGGAATCAGATGTGAAGGGGTCTAGGGTATCTTTAGCAGGTGATGAAAATATTCTAAAATTGATTATGGTGATGGTTGCACAACTCCGTGAAAATAATAAAAACTATTATATTGCACACAATAAATGGGTGAATTGTGTAGCATATGAATTATATCTCACTAAAGTCATGGGTAAGGCATTGTGAACAAATTTAATATAAGCAGTAAGAATTCGTATTCACTCATACCAACAGCTAGGTTATTTTCTTCATTTATAACTCTTGGTTTTAAATATAATCATCAGGTCAGCAATAGCCAATAGGGCATTAAACAAACCTGAACTGTCTCACTATGTAGATATATAAACAGAGATAGACATGGAGATATACAGAGATCCATCTAAATTTTAAGATGTTATTAAAAGTGAGGGGGTTAATTCTAAACTCCCTTAAATTCAGACATTATACAATATAGCAGTGACCTTAAGATGGATAGGCTTTGAGTAGGTTATGAATTCTTTAAAACTGTATAACAATGGGTATTCTTGTGTGGGCAGGACAGGAGAAACGTGAGGGGGAGCATAGCTTTCATCACATTTGTGAAGAGGTCTGGGTCTTTAAAATTAGGAAAGACCACTAAACTACTAGGTATTCTACATTATCGGGTCAAGCAACCCCATTATTTCATTAAAACAAAACAAAACAAAAAAAAGACAGCTGAGTCGTCAGCTAAACTCATTGGTAATTCAAAACTGAACGGTAGAGGGGGCTGTACATTACATGAAGTATCCTGAAACTGTTTAACCAAGACTTTTGATACCCAAAGGCATCCTGGAACTACAGGACCCCCAGCCCAACTCCAGACCTAGCCAATCAAAATCTGCATTTTAACAAGACCACCCCCGCCCCCCCGCCCCGAGGGATGCCTATACACATAAAGTTTGAGAAGCAGCGCTCCAATCAATTTTTGTATGGCCCTCAGCTAAGAATGTTTTTACATTTTTAGTGTTGTTAGAAGACAGAGAAGGAGGTCTAAATGCTGGAAATATCTGCTGATACTTTACAGAAAAAGTTTGCCAATCCTGCTTTAGAGTACCTGTTTGTCACTTTCCACTAATAACTCTAGCTTTTTCAGTTATATTTCTTTTATATAGGATCATAAAACTGTTAACTCCAGATTTCAGATGGAAAAAAACAAACAAACAAAATTTTGACTGCAGTGTTAACATTGCTCATGTAATTATTCAGGATCCTTATATGAACAGATAGTATAAGCAAAACATAAGATATATCTGTGACTCTAACATTATTTGTGGCTGATGGCAAGTTTAGACATCTTTGTATATCTCAA